TGAAGGCTGGCTACGACACAGTAGGTGGGACGTGCCTTCCCTGTGAGGCAAAGGGCTCCCGTGGGAGACTGCCCCGTGTGAGTTGACCGGGTCACGGGTAGGATGGGCGCAGTGAGGATGGAAAGTAGGGAAGAGGGACAGCACTTGGAAAACTGCTCAGGCGTGGCACCACCCCTGCCCATATTCTCACTCTGCCTCCCTTCCGTGCCGCGTGGCATGAGCTCAGGGACAGGGACCATCACGCGTGTGGTGGGACAATCACAGACCTCAGAGCCAGAAAGGAACATGAGTGGGGACTTAAACCATCTGCTTCAAACCCTCCCTTGAGTGGGTGGGCTTGATTTTGCAGGCTGAACCTTCGACCCCGACCCAAGTGATGGTTTCTTAGCAGGGTAACAGCGGGGCTGGCGTCTGGGTGCAGACGTGAGGCAGAGACTTTCCAACTTGGGATTCTGACACACACACAGCCTATACCCAGGGCGCTCCTGTGAGACCGAGACGGGGCTGCCACCCAGTCTTGGCCCAGGCGCTCCACAGGGAGAGGGCCAACCCCAAAGTGCAAATGTACCCTTCCTAAAGTATATAAAATGGACAAACACCCGCACCCCTCCAACGGAGAAAGAGGGCAGACCACAGAAGATGAGAATATGAGAGCTACTTTAATTGGATAGTTTGCTATAAACTGGGGTCAGAAGAGGACAAGAGCAGGTGATGAGAGGAAGCCGTGGGTAACGAATAAACAGCAGTAACCAGCTTGGCCGCAGCTCCTAGGCTCCAAAGGCACCAGCTGCTTGTCTTGTAGGAAGAGGCTGGGTTCAACCTGTCAAGCAGAGCACAGTCATCGATGGACCAGGAACCAGGGCCCCCCCACAGCCCCTAGAATAGTACGTGTAACACTCGTACAGTATAGTAAAAGGAATAGTACGTGTAACACTCACTTGAAAGGGCCTGGAACTTGTTAGCGAGGCACTGCATGGCCGCTGGAATAGAGAGGCATAACTGGGCCCTTCAGACATAGGATACCGAAACCCACCTCGCTGTCCCTGGGATGAACCGCCCAGCCCTGCAACCTGAAACCTCAGCAGCCCCTGTCCAGGCAGCCCTGGGACCCACTCACCCCCCACCACCTGAATTAAACGTGGGAATGTCTTCTAAACGGAAACAAAATGTGGAAGTATTTCTCAAACTCTGGGGCACACCAGAACCATTCAGAATGTGTTAAAACGATAAATAAGCAAAGAAACAACAAGGAAACCCATATAAGCCATACCAAGCAGGGAAGGGGGAAATAAAGGAGGTAGAACTAAACATGCCCAGGGAAGGAGCCCAGTGGGATTCCTTGGCAAAGTGTACATGGAGCGAGCCGACACATTTCTATCTGTGCAACCCTGGCTGTGAGCTCACAGAAGGCTCCAGGGCCAGGCCCGCTTGGTTCTCCCCACAGGAACCTCTCTTTCAGTGAGGCCGCCGGCATCTGCAGCCCATCCCTGCCCTGTGTCCTCAGCACATGCAGGAAGACACCGTGGACTGTCCCAGTCCCTGCCCCAGCCCAAACCAGGGGTTCATCATACCTAGTTGCTGTTTAAGGTCGTCTCTCTCTCTCTGCAGCTCGGTACACTGTGAGCCCAGAGGACGCAGGAAGAAGACAAATGATCAGTGTATTCTGGCCTCCCTTCTCCTCGTCCTCCCTCTCACCCGTGGCCCTCACATGCCCCACCACCCACAGCACAGTGGCCAGAGCAGCAAGGAATCCTTAGTGGAAAGGAGGAGCCCAGTCTCTGGTGGGTGGGGGATGGGAGGAGGAGGGCACGACACAGAATTCAGTTTAACCTCGACACGGATCCCACCATCCAGAGAGGACATTGGTTTCTAGAAGCCAGAACAGGCTTTACCCGAGGACAGGCCTGCACTCCCGGTGGTTGCTGCTGCCTTTCTGGTCTTCGGACATGGACAGGTGGCTTCTGGTCACCTGAAAGACAACACGGAATCCAGCTTCCACACCTCACAGCCTGCAGGTGGATGGGGCCTAATGGGGTCTAAAGTGAGGCAGCATCAGTCTCTACTGGCAGCAAGTGGCTCCTGCTCAGCCCAGCAGCTGCTGGATTCTCTCTGGGCCTGCCTTCTGTGTTCCTGTTCCCCAGTGTCAGGCCATCTGTGCCCGTGGCCCCCTAGCATTGTGGCTGTGGGTTGGACGCTAGCACAGCTGCAGCCACAGCCAGCCCTGGGAGGAGTGATGGGCATGAACAGGACTAAACTTAAAAGACTCAGTTCTATCTACTGTGCTGAGTCTGCTTCTGGAGTCAGAGCTGGGGTGCTGCTACGATTCCCAAATCCTATCCCAGGCCTGTCAACACCCCTTTCCTGTGGGAAAGCTGTGTGGGTAGGCAAAGAGGCTTGGGAACAAGGCTTAGCCTGCAGAAGTATCAGAGCCGGAGGTTGCCTTCCTCCACCCGCCCCCTCCCCTGCACTCCTATCACACTCACCAGACTCATTACAGGGTGCATGGCCTCTGGGCGAGATGCCTCCCTGGCTCAAGGCGGAGGTCTGTAAGCTTCCTGAAACTTGCCGGGCTCTGGTGTTGGGGTCGCCACTGCCGAATTCTCCACGATGCATGTGCAGGCAAGGTGGCCCTGGCCTGGGCGTTGGAAGCTGAAAGAAAACTTTCTCAGAGCTGGGCCAGGGCGTGAGTGTGAACATGTATGTACAGGGGCTCTGGTGAGGTGGGCAGTAAAGAGGATAATTCAGAGGCTATAATCTTATTAGCACTTTCTCCATCAGACAGCCCTAGGCCGGCAGGCAGGGCTCAGCCAGGGAAAACGGGGATGCTGAGACACTCCAAGCCCCTTGATAGGCAGGCTTGGGGAACGGTATGAAAGGAGGAGTCAGGAGGCTATTGAGTCTAGACACCCAAGATTTGCAGCCCAAAATTTACAGGGTCCTCTGATCCATCCTAGCCCCTCTCTGGGGAAAGAGGCAGGAAAGATGGAAAGGGTCAAGAACAGTACCTAGCATGTACCCAGTGCTCTCTTAATGTGTGCCCCTACTAAGATGGCCACCATGGGGCATCCTAATGACCTTGGGATCACAAGGACAGGCCCTGAGCAAAGGACAGAGTAAAGATGCCTGTTTGGGGGAGGGGAAGTGTGGGCAGACAGGAAGACGATGTCATACTCACTTGGGCCTTTGGGCCTGGATCTCTATTGGCGTCACTATCATCTCTGGACACAGGTTGGGAATCCTTTGCCTTCCTCGCCCCAGATTTCTTCCCAGTGCTGCTGTTCTTGGAGTGTTTGGGTGCCAAGGACAGCAACGAGTAGCTCTTGGACCTCCCAAGCAGGGGAACACCAGCGATTGGGGGGAAGGTGGCTGGTTCCAGGGGAACTGCTGACAGTCTCTGCCCCCATGGAGGAAATACTCTCCCCAGGGCCATGTTTGAGGCGGCCCCTAGGAACTTCTTCTCCTGGGCCACCTTCTTCTTAGGAATGGCCCGGGGCAGGCTGCCCACAGCAGCAGCAGCAGCAGCAGCGGCTCCTGGGAAGCTGGGCCCGCTGCCTGCCTTCCCCGACACCACACTCTGCATTTTCTTTGAGGATGAGCTGCCCAGTTCTCCAACGGCCTGCCTTCCCTTGCCTGAAGTGAGTGCTCGGGAAGCAGAGGTCAAGAGAAAGCCTGGCGTGGGAAGGAAGTCCTCCCTGACAAGCAAACTCGAGTGTCTGGGTGTGTCCCCGGGATCCTCGGCGCTGCTGGGCTCGCCCGGGTCTCCTCCTTTGGGGTAAATGCTCACCCTCATCGGCACCTCACTGATCTCACTTTGTGACTCGGGGTCGGAAGGCAGCTCGACCAGGCCTACCACGGAGGGCCGCTGGGGAACCCTGCCGCCCGCGCTCTGCTTACTTTTAGCGCCTCTTTTCTGGTTCCCGCGGGCCCGGACTTTCCGGGGCGCCATGACGGGGGGAGGGGCGGCAGAGGCGGCCAGGGCGCCTCGACCACTCAGACCTGCCCCCAGGTCCGGCCACACGGTGGACACTTGGGCGTCGCGGCCCTCTGAGCACGGGTGGCTACGGACGCCCCGGAAAGCCCAGTCGCTCATCGGCTGCACGATGGCCATCGATTTGTCAGCCAGGAGGGACTCGTAGTCTAGATCGTCCCCCATCTCGTCAGTCGGGGTGCAGGGGCGGCCTTCCCGGCCCCAAAGCACGGTCCTTCCCTCCTCTATCACTTGCTGCTCAGCCTCGAAGCCCTTGGGGTCTGCCAGCCCGCCCCCACCCTTGAGGCTCCGCGGCGTCCCCACATTGAGGCCTAGGCCGGGGCCCCGCGGGCCTCTGAGGCCTCCCCGGGGGACGCTGGCCCGCTCCCCGCCCTCCAGGCCGAAAGCGGCCTCCGAAACAGACACCTCATCAGAGGAACTCATGTCGCCGGTTCCATCTATCCCGGTTGTGGGCAGATGGTCGCCCTTGTCACGGCAGGATGGACCCGCACACGCTCGCCTCAGGAGTAGCCGGGTCTAAGGAGGCGCGGTTGCCTCAGGCGCTGCACGAGATGACCTCAAACAACGCGTGGCTTCCGTGACCCTGGATGCCCTCACCGCAGCCTTGTCATTGGTCTGCTTTCCCAGGCTCCACCAATCAGCGCGCCCATTGTTTGGTCGACTCTAGGGCCCCAACCAATAGGGACGAGGGCAGTTGGTTTGCCCCGAAGCCTGTCGTTTGTCTCCTTGGTTGCCCGTTGTGTCACAGGGTCCTGGCCTCGTGCACTCGTCCCACCTCTTTCTCACAGTGCCTCTGCCGGGCATCTGCTTTCACACTGAGAGCCACGTCTCTGAGCCTCAGTTTCCCATCTGTAAAGTGGGCTAAGTAACAGCACCCAGTTCAGGGGTTTGTGAGGGTCAATGATGGATGCGAAGCACCCAGCGCACAGAGGATTTGCATGGCTCTATTCCACAACACTTGCCACCCGATAGGAAGCCCACAGTCAGTAATCAGAGGATTCACGGTTTTCTTTTCCATGTCTTTGAAAAATTCCCTTGCTGCTTCTCAGATTGGATAATTTCAGTTGACCCTTTTTGAAGTTCACTGATTCTTTGCCTACTCAAAACTACAATTGGCCCCCTTGGTGGGTTTTCATTTCAGTTATTGCACGTTCAGCTGCATAATCGTGCTTTGGTTCCTTTTCGTAGTGTCTTTTTATTTATATTGTCTATGTGGTCATGTATTATGCTTCTGCTTTATTGAGTTCTTTGAGTGTATTTGAGACAATGAAGTTAACCTCTGTGTTTATTACGTCTAAGATCTGTGCTTCCTCAAGCACAGTTTCTGTTAATATCTTCTGTGAATTCGCCATCCTCATGGGGTTTTTAATTTTTTGCATGCTTAGTTTGTTTTTAAAAATGACATTTTGGGTATCGTAACATGGTTACTCTGGACATTGTATTCTAGGGTATTTTTTTTCTTGGTGTGGGATGTCGTTATTTATTGTCTTCTAAACTATTTTTGTAATTAGTATTCTTTGTCATGTGTGCTGTGTTCCTTTAGTTATTGTTCAGCTAGTGGTTTTTATTTAATTTATTTTTTCTTTTTTTATTGTATATTTTTTTATGTTCTTATTTTTTGCCACAGGTTCATCTGCATCATGAGCTAGTGTTTTGACCAAAAGTAGCATCCTTGAATTCCAGGGGCGGGAGGCAGTGTGCAGTAGGAGTGGAATAGGAAGAGGAGAAGGAGGAGAAGGAAGAAGAATGAGGAAGAACAACAAAAACCTCTTGCAGTCTTTGCACATTTGTTCTATGCTTAGGCATTTGTTCAGTGCTCAACCAGGCCATTTAAAACTCCACCATAGACTTCACTTCTTGCCTGCACAGAGACCAGAAGAGCAGCCAGACTTGAGAGTTTAGGGTCTTTTGAGAGTTGAGAGTTGAGGAGTTGAGGAGGACTTGAGAGTTTAGGACTTCTCTAAGCATGCATCCAGCCCTGGACATGCACATGGCTTTCTAAATTCCCCAGTAAACATGGACAATTTTGAATGATCTAATTTCCCCATGTCCCCAGCTTTTCCTCCTAAGCTTTCATCACTCTTTTGACTAGCCCAGGACAGACTAGAACAGACAAAATTCTTTGAGGTAAGTCAGCTGGGCTCTCTTTAGAAGCAGAGACCAGAGTCTCACACTGGGAATGTAGACTGAGTATAAAGAAATGCCAGTGAGGCCGAGCGCGGTGGCTCACGCCTGTAATCCTAGCACTCTGGGAGGCCGAGGCGGGCGGATTGCTGAAGGTCAGGAGTTCAAAACCAGCCTGAGCGAGACCCCGTCTCTACCATAAAAATAGAAAGAAATTAATTGGCCAACTAATATATATGTATATAAAAATTAGCCGGGCATGGTGGCTCGTGCCTGTAGTCCCAGCTACTCGGGAGGCTGAGGCAGGAGGATCGCTTGAGCCCAGGAGTTTGAGATTGCTGTGAGCTAGGCTGACGCCACGGCACTCATTCTAGCCTGGGCAACAAAGTGAGACTCTGTCTCAAAAAAAATAAATAAATAAAAAGAAATGCCAGTGAGCCAGCCGGGGTCCCAGGGTACGGATGAATAAAAATGCCACAATTCTTACATGGAATTGTTAGATTGCCCTTTTTTTATTTTTTATTTTTTATTTTTTTTTTTATTTTTTAAACCCAATTTGAGAATCTCATGCCCTTTTTTTAGTTGAACATTTACTTGGTTGCTGTAAACCCTAATTATTTACTTTTTGTTGATGTTTGGATGCTTTCATACAGGGACTGATGGTTGAAGCTATCTGCTTCACCACGTTTACAGATGTTCATGCAAACAAAGCACCCTCGTCCCTATTGGTTGGGGCCTGAGAGGCTGCCAAACAAGGAGCGCGCTGGATGGTGGGGGCTGAGGGAAGCCAACCAATGAGAAGGCCGCGGCGCCCAGAAGGCGGGCGTTGAGCAAGCTTGGAAGCCTCGAGCTTTGTTGCATTGTTTGAGGCCGTCACGCGCGAACACTGAGGCAACGGCGTCGCTCAGCCGGTTAGCCGGTTAGAGGTCGTTGCTCCTGAGGCGGGCGAGTGCTAGGCTCTCCCGCCGGGAACAGGGCAACCATCTGCCTTCAGCCCCGGCAGATCGACCCAGCGACATGAGTTCCCCCGATGAAGTGTCTGTTTGTGGGGCCGCTTTCGGCCTGGAGGGTGGGGAGCAGGCCAACGTCCACCCAGCTGTGCCTGGAGCCCCGCGGGGCCCCATCGTAGGCCTTGATGTGGGGACGCCGCGGAGCGGCGAGGGCGAGGGCGGGCTGGCAGACCCCGAGAGTTTCGAGGCTGAGCAGGAAGTGATAGAGGCGGGAGGGGCCGTGATTTCGGACCAGGAAGGCCAGCTCAGCACCCCGACAGTTAAGAAGGGGAACGACGTGGACTTCGAGTCCCGCCAAGCTGACAAATCTGTGCCCATCGTGCAGCCGCTGAGCGACTGGGCTATCCGGGGTTTCCGCAGACACTCTTGCACTGAACGCCGCAATGCCCAAGTGTCCACCCTTTGGCCTGACCTAGAATCAGGTCACAGTGTTAGAGGCACGTTCACCACCTATGCCACCCCTCCACCGGTCATTGTACCCCGGAAAGTCTGGGCCCGTGGGAACCGGAAAAGAGGCGCTAAAAGTAAGCTGAGAATGGGCTGCAGGGCTTTCCAGCAGCCCTCCATGGAAGGCCTGGTCGAGCTGCCTTCCGACCCCGAGTCGCCAGATGAGTTCAGTGAGATACCGATGAGGGTGAGCATTTCCCCAAAGGAGGAGACCTGGGCGAGCCCAGCAGCCCCGAGGATCCCGGGGAAACACCCAGACACTCGAGTTTGCTTGTCAGGGAGGACTTCATTCCTATGCCAGGACCTTCTTGACCTCTGCTTCCCGAGGACTCACTTCAGGCATGGGAAGGGTTGGAGAGCTGGACAGCTCTTCCTCTAGGAAAATGCAGGGTGTGGTGTGGGGGAAGGCAGGCAGCGGGCCCAGCTTCCCAGGAACTGCTGCTGCTGCCGTGGGCAGCCTGCCCTGGGCTGTTCCTAGGAAGAAGGTGGCCCAGGGGAAGATGTTCGTAGGGGCTGCCTTGGCCCTGGGGAGAGCCTTTCCTCCATGGGGGCAGAGACTGTCAGCAGTTCCCCTGGAACCAGCCACCTTTCCCCCAATCGCTGGTGTTCCCCTGTTCGGGAGGTCCAAGAGCTACTTGTTGCTCTCATCTGGACCCAAAGAGTCCAAGCACAGCAGCACTGGGAAGAAATGTGTGATCAGGAAGGCAAAGGAATCCCAGACTGTAGACAGAAGCGATAATGGCCCAAATAGAGATCGAGTCCCAACGGCCGTATTAAGTGGGACAACATTTTCCTGTCTGCCCACACTTCTCCCCAACACAGGCATCTTTACTATGTCCTTTGCTCAAGTGCTGTCCTTGTGAGTCCACGGACATTGGGATGCCCAATGAGAATCATCTTAGTAGGGGCACACATTAAGAGAGCACTGGGTACGTGCCAGGCACTGTTCTTGACCCTTTCCATGTCTCCTGCCTCCTCCCCAGAGAAGAGCTGGGCTGGCAGCTGCTTTGGATTGGACAACCCTTAAAAGTTTGGGCTGCAAAGCTTGGGTGTCTAGACTCATCAGCCTCCTGACTCCTCCTTCCTAGCTGTTCCCCAACTTTGCCTGGCAGTGGGCCTGGGCTGTCTCAGCATCCCCCTGTTTTCCCTAGCTCAGTCTGGCCTGCAGGCCTGGGGCTGACTGAGGGAGAAAGTGCTAATAAGATTATCGCCTCTGATTTCCCCTCCTTACTGCCCACCTCACCCCATCCCTGCACATACATGCTCACACTCACACGCCCTGGCCCAGCTCTGAGAAAGTTTTCTTTCAGCTTCCAACGCCCAGGCCAGGGCCACCTTGCCTGCACATGCATCGTGGAGGATTCGGCAGTGACTACCCCCACATCAGAGCCATCCAAGTTCCTGGAAACTCACAGGCCTGGGCCTTGAGCCAGAGAGGTGTCACACCCAGAGGCCCTGCACCCTCCAGTGAGTTGGCGGGTTTGGTAAGAGTGGAGGGGAGAGGTGTGGAGGAGGACAAGGTCTGGCTCTGTTGCTCTCTGGGGCTAAGCCTTGCTCCCAGGCTTTCCTTCCTACCCCGACAGCTCTCCCAAAGGAAACGGGGTGTCGACAGTGCTGGGGTGGGGGGATTTGTAGCAGCACCCCAAACTCTGACTCGAAAACTAGACTCTCAGCAGAGCAGAGACTTTTAAGGTAAGTCCTGTTCAACCCCATCACTCCTCCCAGGGCTGGCTGTGGCTGCAGCTGTGCTAGCCTCCAACCCAGAGCCACAATGCTAGGGGGCCACAGGCACAGATGGCCTGACACTGGGGAACAGGAACAGGGAAGGCAGGCCCAGAGACAAGGCTGCAGCTGCTGGGCCGAGCAGGAGCCACTTGCTGCCAGCAGAGGGTGACGCTGCCTCACTTTAGACCCCAGTAGGCCCTGTCCTCCTCCAGGCTGGGAGGCTTGGAAGCTGGATTCTGTGTTGTCTTTCAGGTGACCAGGAGCCACCCGTCCATGACCCAAGACGGGAAAGGCAGCAGCAGCCACCAGGATCACAGGGCTGTGTTCGGGTAATGCCTGGTCTGGCTCCTAGAAATTTAGTTTCTAACTAGATGGTGGGATCCGTGTCCAGGTTAAAGTGACTTCTGTGTCATCCCCTCCTCCTCCCATCCCACACCAACTAGAGACAGGGCTCCTGCTTTCCACTGAGGATTCCTTGCTGCTCTGGCCACTGGGCTGTGGGCAGTCAGTGAAAGGCCACGGGTGAGAGGGAGGACGAGGAGAGAGGAGGCCAGAATGCACTGATCATTTCTCTTCCTCCTGCATCCTCTTTGGCTAGTGTGCTAAGCTGCAGAGAGAGATGGATGGCCCTTTGGTGCAACCAGGTATGATGAACCCCTGGCTCAGGCTGGGTAGGGGTTGTGGCAGACCATAGTACCTTCCTGCAAGTGCTGGGTCCAGGGGGTAGGGATGGGCAGTTCCCCCCGGGGGGGAGGGGATGGGTCTCCGTATCTCTATGTCTGGAGTGCCCGATTATGCTTCTCTATTCCAGCGGCCATGAAGTGCCACGGTGACAAGTTCCAGGCCCTTTGAAGTGAGTGAGTGAGTGTTACACGCACCATCTCTCTTCCAGCAAAGCTGGTTGCTTCTGGGGACTGTGGGCTGGCCCTGGCTTGAGGTGGGACCCTGACTGTGCTCTGTTTGACAGGTTGAACCCAGCCTCTTCCTACAAGACAAGCAGCTGGTGCCTTTGGAGCCCAGGATATATGGCCGAGCTCGTTTTCTCCATTTCTATTTCAGCCACTGCTTCGTCTCATCCCCTGATCTTGCCCTCTCCTCACACCAGTTTACAGCAAATTATCCAATTAAAGTATCTCTCATATTCTCATCTTCTGTGGTCTGCCTTCTTTCTAGGGTGAAGGGGGAGTTGCCGGTAGGGGTGGGGCCAACAGCTCCATTTTCGAGCATTTGAAGCCGGGTTCCCTGACACCCTGTGCTTGGCCCTCTCGCTGCAGGGCGTCTGGGCCGGTATCTGGGTGTCAGCCTTGTGCTCAGACTCACCATAGCACCCTGGGTCCAGCCTCTATACAGGCCCTGCCCGGCCTCATCAGCAGGCTGTCTTCATTGTCCCTCCAAATGTCCTCCGATTTGGGTGTCTCAAGGTTCCCACTGTGTGCCGCTCCTCCCCTTCCCCTTCAGCAGGAACTAATTGACCTCCTGCCAGAGATCCCACCCCTCTTTGCCTTCCTCGATGGTTCGCTGTCCTGGTTCTCCCCCCTCGCCCTTCTTTTCTGTCACGAGCATCCTTGGTCTCTCCCATGGCTTCATGCCCCTGGCCTTTCCCGCACGGTCATTGCAGCAGGTGTTAAAGAGCACGGTTGAGCTCCTCCCCAGCCGGGGCCCCGGTCTCTTTCTGGAGTCACGCTCTCCCTCTGGTGCCACCACGTACACGCACAGCTCGGCCAGGAACCCGAGCATCATCCTCAGTTCCTCTGTAGCCCTCACCTTTGACACTCGCTTACCAAACCCCGGGAGTTCTCCCGCCTTACTTGCAGTGGAGGGGTGGAGCGAAAGGGGAGCTGCAGGGAGCAGGGGAGAAGGGAGCAGGTTGGTCTCCGGGCTGCAGGTGGGGGGACTGAGTGCGCTCTGCTGCCTCGGGGCTCCGCGGCCTCCACTTGGACAAGGCCAGTTAGTTTCCAGAGCGAGTGTGCATGCTAGGTCTGAATGTTCTTGGATGGTCCCCATCAGACACCTTTCGGCCACCCCCATGACACAGACTTGGCTGGACGTGATATTTCCGTGTCCCAGCTCAATCTTCCAGACTGCCTCCCGAGGCCACATGAGATTCCGTCTGAGCTCCCTGTTGTGACCTCACCCTCCCTGACAGCTGGGGTCGCCTCCTTCCTTCGGCCAGGGTCCCGGGCCGGCCGGCCTGACACTCGCAGGGACACATTGATGTGAGTGAGGTGAGTGCACGTTCTGCCAGCTCCCATCGTCCAGAGACTGGGTGTTTCCCAGACAAGCAGGGGACAAGTGCAGATACCATCCGGGGTGAGCGTGTGCAGGGAGGGATCCGTCTGTGTGTGTGTCTGTGTGTCTTTCTGTGTGCTTGTGAATCTCATCGGCCATGACCTCCCAGGAGGGAGAAAGAGCTGATTCAGGGAGCGGGGCAGTGGGCCAGCATCCTCAAGGGATCCAAGGAGTCGAAGCAAGGGTGGGGTCTACCTTTCACGAGAGGTTTTCTTCAAGTGCGGAAAACACACAGGAGCGCCCAGAGTGGGTGGAAGTGGAAGTGGCCAAGCCCAGTGCCGGGCGCCAGGGCTCTCAGATGCTGGAGTCCCCGGAGTAGGCCCTGGATCCTCTGTGTGATGAATATGACGTCCCAAAAGTCCTGTGCGTGTGGGTGGATGATAGCGTGAAGGCTGGCTACGACACAGTAGGTAGGACGTGCCTTCCCTGTGAGGCAAAGGGCTCCCGTGGGAGACTGCCCCGTGTGAGTTGACCGAGTCACGGGTAGGATGGGCGCAGTGAGGATGGAAAGTAGGGAAGAGGGACAGCACTTGGAAAACTGCTCAGGCGTGGCACCACCCCTGCCCATATTCTCACTCTGCCTCCTTTCCGTGCTGCGTGGCATGGATAAGGGAACCCCTATCTGTTACTTGGTGCATCAGGCACCAGAGACCCCAGCCATTCACCACATCAGCATAAAACTAACCTGTTTCCTGGCCCATCAACTAGTCTATTGCCTGGCACCAGCATAACACTAAATCTATTGCCTGGTGCATCAACATAATATTAACCTACTGCCTGACACATCAATTGACCTGCACCTGATACCCCACCCCTTGGACCACCCCAACTTAATAAAAATGGGAAAAATCAGGTAGACAGTGCTCATAATTTGGTGTCGAGGCCCCTCTCAGCCTGCTGATAATAAACTTTGATTCTCTTAATCTCTGTGTTACCCTCAGTTTGTCCTTGAGCCCACCTGCTGTTAACACTTGCTGTAACATTTTGGTTCCCTGACCGGGAAAACCGTTCTCGCTGGCCCCTTGAAGCCACCAGTTCAGGAACAGGCGCAACGACCAGCGGAACCTCAGTGACAGAAGCACACCGGCACCAACGGCCATTTGGCGGAATATCTTTGTTCCCGAAGAGCTGCCGCCAGCCGTGGGGTCCCAAACTCGTCCGGAGAAGCTGGAGGGAAGGACAAGTCAAATCAGGTCTGGAGGCATTGGACCAGATCAGGCCCATCAGATGACGGAAGAGGGGCTTGATCACCTCCTGAGTGCAGGGAATCCGCAGGGTGGGAATGTGTAACTTCTGCGTGTCTGAGTGAGTGAGTGGTTCCACTGCTACGGAACCTGAGTGGGGCCTCACCTGCGGTTCTGCAGCGATATCGTACGACGTAACAGTGATTCACTCCCCCAAAGGGATCGACCAGGCCCGGGGTTTATAGGGGTACACCTTAGCCAAGATGCGCCTAAGTTCCCGTGAGGGACGCAGCCAGGCGGACACCTGAGAGAACCCGAGCCCTTTGTCTGTTAAGCTGGGACACCATTCAAGTGTCTAAGATGGGTAGCGTAGAATCTAATCCTACAGTCCTTAAATGCATCTTAAAGAACTTTAAGAAGGGTTTCACAGTACATTACGGTGCCACACTGAGTCCCAGTAGACTTAGGGCCCTCTGTGAACAGGAGTGGCCCACATTCGGGGTTGACTGGCCTGCAACAGGAACCTTAAACCTCCCCACAGCTCGAGCACTTTGGAGAATCATGACCTGGACTCCCGGCCACCCCGACCAATTCCCTTACATAGATTCATGGCTAGAGATTGCTCAGACCGTGACCCCTTGTGGCTGGTTCTGTGCTAATAGGGACAGAGCAGGATTTTTGTGGCCCAAAGGACCAGAGACTCCAAACTGTCCAAACCCATCTATCAGGAAGCTCCTGAAGGGAATCCACCACCACTGCCCTACAACCCTACCGTGACTCCTATAGTACCCCCGAATCCACCAGACACCCTGCCATGGTCAGTCTCCCCGCCGCCAGTTCCAGACCAACCGGGTGCTGACACTCCCATCACCCGCCGGCTATGGTCAGCTCAGGCCCCAACTTCAGCCCTCCCGATGCCCCTACGAGAGGTGCGAGGTCCGAGGCAGGTTACAGATGATGGGTCCGTTCAGCCAGGTCAGCCAGTCCTGTACTATCAGCCCTTCTCCACCACTGACCTTCTCAACTGGAAGCACCACACCCCACCATACTCTGAGAAACCTCAGGCCCTCATTGACCTCCTGAAATGCACCTTCAAGACCCACCATCCCACTTGGGAAGGCTGCCGCCAGCTCCTTCTGACCCTTTTAACACAGAAGAACGACGCAGGATTGTATCTGGGACTCAGACTTGGCTCCAGGACCAGGCTCCAGCAGGGAACTTGGACATGGAGCAGTGGGCACAAAGAGCAGCACTGAGGCCAACCTGGATTGGGATTTCAACTCCCCAAGTGGACGAGAGGACGAGAGGCACTTAGAAGGTATCAGGAAGCTATCCTCCATGGGGTCCACGAGGAAGCCAGAAAACCAACCAAAATGAACAAAGTCGCTCTGATCACCCAGAAACGGGAGGAATCCCGAGCAAATTCTACAAGCGCCTTTCTGAGGCCCACTGAGTCTACACACTCTTCGACCCAGAGGTGGCCTAAAATCAGTGCATGGTAAACATGCATTTGTTGGGCAGTCCTATCCTGACATCAACAGAAACTTCAGAAACTAGACAGATTTTCAGGAATGAACATCATTGCAGGAATGAACGTCACGCAGCTGATGGAAGTGGCCCAGAAGGTCTATGTTAATGGAGACCGGACTGCCCCGAGGGAGAGTGACAAGAGAATGAAACAGAAAGCTGCTCTCCTGGCCGCTGCCCTCAGAAGACCTGACCCAGCCAAGAGACCTGGCCCGCCACGGGAACGAGGACCCAGCAGTGAGGGACGCTGAAGCCTGACCAGTGCGCCTATTGTAGAGAGTTTGGTCACTGGAAGCATGAATGTCTCCACAAAGGAAACCTCCCACCACCACCAGGAACCTGCCCAGGGGCTTCCAGCAGGAGCCAGAAACCCAGGACCTCATCAGTGTCGCTGGGGTCAACTCGGAATAGGACCGACCGGGTTCCCTGACTTTTGAACCCCAGGAACCTCCGGTCGCAATGGAAGTGGGGGGCCAACCAATAACGTTCAGGGTGGACACTGGGGCAGAACGCTCGGTGGTAGGAACCCTAGTGACTCCACTTACAGAGTGGAAAGCCACCATTGTGGGAGCCACAGTAGCTCGACCCTTCTGCCTGTCCCGAATGTGCCAGATGGGGGCCACCAGATAAAACTTGAATTCCTATGCGTAGCGGACTGCCCCCTTCCCCTCCTGGGTCGAGGTCTCCTGAGCAAACTGGAAGCCCAGGTCACCTTCCACCCAGGAGGGACTGCGAGCCTCACGCTCGGCGCCACAGAGACTCTCTTAATGACAGCCGCCCTCCTGCCAGTGGAAAAGCCCAATGCAGGCGCATACCGGCCCGTCCAAGACCTGCGACTGATGAAAGAGGCCGCAGTGCCTCTCCGCCCAGTGGTCCGGAATCCATCCACCCTCCTGGGCCTCATTCCTCCTGATGCTGCCTGGTTCTCCTGCCTGGACTTGAAGGATGCTTTCTTCCGCCCGCGGCTCGCTCCGAAGAGCCAGGCCCTGTTCGCCTTCGAGTGGGAGGATGCTCAGACTAGAAGCAGATCGCAGCTGACCTGCACGCGGCTACCACGGGGATTAAAAACTCACCAGCAGTATTCGGGGAGGCTCCAGCCACTGACCCCATCTCCTTTCTGTGAGAGGAAACGCGCCGCACGCTTCTA